CTCAAGTCGAACAGCCTGGTTAGGGTCATTCCTTTCCATTCTCAAGTCGAACAGCCTGGTTAGGGCCATTCCTTTCAATTCTGAAGTCGAATAGCCTGGTTAGCGTCATTCCTTTTCATTCTCAATGTTAGTGTCCGAGGGGGTGGGCCTCGAGGTCACGGATCCCATTTCTGTCTTGAAGGTTACTAGAAGGTGGCCATCTCATCTCAGTTTTCAGCGTGCTGTTCCCTTTTTCCATTTCTCACAGTAATGTACTATCCATACATACATCCGACTTGGCGTCGAGTACTCGAGTTGGGGCTCGCGGCCCCAAGCAGCACTAGCCCACCCGGCCGTTCAACCATAACAAAAGACACGGGCGCCTCTTTTTTTTTTTCATTCGTTCTGATGACTCAGACCTCGACTATTCTCAGACTCCTTCATGACTTAGTTGGATTAGGCTACTAGGGAAGTAGTGTTATTCACGCCCCTTAACCCATAGGTTCCCTAACCTCTCTTGTACACGACCAACACTCAATGCCTTGCTTGCTCGTCAATCTTTACTCAAAGTTTCTTTTTTTCAAAAGCACAATCCTCATCCCGTCCAAGATTCACAATACATCCTTCCCAACTGGTCTCATCCCATGCCCCATGCCATTCTCTTATGTACCTTTTTTCGAAGGTAGCTCATCCAGAAAGTAGCCTCAAAATGTTATCTTCTAACTTATCGTGACATAGTTTTAGCTGACCCTCTCATCACTCGTCCTTAGCAAGCTTACTCATACTATACACGCTCTCGTCGCTCCCATGTCTTGCAAAAAGAGGAAAAACGAAAATCCTGTTCAGTGCTTAATTGACATCTAGTTCCTATCGCTGCCTTGAGCCTCGACTTGCCCGACCCCTTGCCTTCCCTGTTCCTCGGCAGGCTTTCTAACCCCCACGTCGAAGGTCTCGATCTCTCTCCTTTTCCGCGCAATTTCCTGTAGTTCCGCCTCACTGAAAAAGTCCAACGGTGTGGCTTCCACCCCTGCCTTTGCGAGTTCTCGGGTCTTGATAATCCACTCGTGCTTGATCACATTGGTCCATAGCTGAAACCAATGACTGGGTGTTGGCCCAAACTCATCCTCCCATCTGAAGGCCTCATCGCGCGCCTGAAGCATCGGAGGCCGCTTCTCTTCCCTAGGCCTGGAGATTTCATCCCTCTCATCCCCGCTGTTGATCTCTATGATCTCTTGTACATCCTCCTCCTCATCCTCCTCGTCCTCTGTCTGTATGGGGCTATACCTTCCCGTTAGGTTCTGTGGATCGCAGGTACAAGGAATCTTTGTCCTTGTCTCATACCCCTCACAACTGCCATGGCCACTTTCGTCCTTCAAGCGGGCTTTCTCTTTTTTTCTCCCCATCCTGATGCTCGTCGTGCATGTCCTGTCCCCCCTCGCTTTCCCCGTGCCAAGTCTCATGCCGTTCGCCCCTGTTGGCCCCTTCCTCGTCAGGGGCCTGAGCCTTTTCTCCCATAACTGCATTGCCCCATTCTCCCATATTTGCCCTTTTCTTCTCGCCTTCACTGTCAGATGAGATTTCTATACCTTCTCCCTTGCGGAGGGGCGAGGGTCTTCTACATACACACTTTTTTCCGCCCCTGCCTACCACCGCCCCGCCCATGAGCCCTATGTACAACTTTCTCTTCGCTGTCCTCCTCACTTGGCTTGGTCCTGCTTCTTCCCCTTCGGTAGGCCTGTTGATTGCCCCACTGTCATTCTCGTTGCCGAATTTCATTCTTGTTTTTTCTCGTTTCTCTTCTAAGTCCTGTATAACAAAACAACATCCACAATGCCCCTCGTACACCCGTTCCCCCAGTCCGGTAGGCAGCTCCCCGTTCCCCAGAATGTTGCTAGTGTCCTTCGCATCATGCCCCTTTTATACAGTTCCCTCCCTTATGCAAATGCGCCGTTTGTGAAGATCTTATTATTTCCCCGTCAAAAACTATGATACAATGTCCCAACAATCCTTCCCGTCGTCGCACAAACCCATTACCGCAAATTCCCAAGTCACCTTGCATTTCAACCTCAGTCAGTCCAAGCCATTGCCCCAGTCAAAAAGAAATGACAGTCCCACGGACGCAGTCAAAGACAGAACCAAAAGTGTGGGCAAGGTCGCTGTCAGTCCTTAGCTTGTAGCCTTTCAGTTTTCCCTGTCCTCGGCCTCCTGAAGCCATTGTTCCACTTGGTCCCGACTTAGAAACCTGACCAGTCGTTGCCCCGAGAAGGGTCCTTTCGATCCATTTCCATCCAAATCTTCCAGTTCGAAAGTGTTCAGTCCCACCCGTTTGGCGACCCGGTAGGGGCCTTTGAACCTCCTCCCCAGTTATCCAGACCAAGTACTTTCTAGTGCCGAATTCCTTAGCAATACCATCTCCCCCACTTGAAGTGGCTCCTTTCTGACATTCTTAACCTGGTCCCACCTTGCTTTGTCCCTCATCCCGCTGTCTAGTACCTGGTTGGCGATGTCTTCCATGACCTCTTCGTTCTTAAGGACCTGTTGACACCTTGCCATTAACTCCTCCTTGGTCGTTCGCAGATCGTCCTCTAACCTGTTCCAGGTAGGTATCAAGGCTTCTACAGGAAAGTCGATCTTTCTTCCGTACCAAAGTTCTGTTGGGATACATCCCGTTGTCCTCTTAGGTGTCATGTTCTCAGAGAAGACAGCCTGCTTGAGATACCTAGGCCAGCTTCCCAGATGGTCCGCTACGAGCTTCACAATCGTGTTCTTTAAGGTTCGGTGCCCTCTTTCCACAGGTGCATTGGCCTCTGGGTGATATGGGTCGATGAGTTTGATCGGTACGCAAAGTCTCTTAAGCATTCCCAATACTTCTTGGTTTACAAATTTTGTCTCATTGTCTGCTATAAATCTTCTGGCGAAAGGGTGCCTCGAGTAGAAGTCTTCTATCCAGTTTGCTACACTTCTCCCTGTCTTTCTCTTCAGGGCGACTGCCTCCACGAACCCACTCAAGTTGTCTCGCGCATCCACGAACCCGCTCAAGTTGTCTCGCGCATCTAGAATATATCTGTACCCATCTGTTAACACAGGCATGACCGCAAGGTCAAGGTGGACGAGATGTCCCGGCCCTAGCACCCGCGTAGGTCTAAGCGGCTCAAAGACACGTGCCGAGCTTTGTTCCTGGCAGATAAGGCATGTCTGGCAGTATATGACGACCATGCCTGCCATGCCTAGCCAATAATAGAGTGACGCTATTTTTGCAAGAGTTCCTTTGGACGACCGATGCCCTCCTGCTAATCCGTCGTGCATTGCTTGGATAACGTCCAACTGCCTAGATCTTCCGCACACAACTCTTCTAGGCATAGCACCTTCTTCTCTTCGGAACAGATGGTCGCCCCTTAGGACGTACCTTTCGGCCTCCTCCCTTGCTTTAGCGCTGACTTCTATGGGTTGCTTGTTTCCTACCAGCAACAACCCGATCTCCCGAAAGATCCCTTCGTATATCTGGGCATAGAAAAACTCCTTCCTTTCGTGGTCCTCATCCTTTCTCTTCTGCATCTGGTTTACCATCCATTGCAACTCTTTCCTTTCCCAAGATTCCACTAAGCTCATCACGGCTTCCCGGCCTCCCTCAACCGCCATTGCTATTAGCTCCTCCTTTGGTTCTACTATCGCTCCCTCTTTACAACCTCGAGTGGTGACTGACCCTTCTCTAAGTTTTGCTACTACAACATGTGCCCTCTTCTCCAAAGTGCGGATCAACAATTCTCCCGATGCGCATTCTTCTCCCATCATTTCGCTGTCCACCGCAAGAGTTTCTCCCTCGAATTCGAGGAACGCGTCTATGGGCTCCGCATCCTCCATACCTTCATGAGTGATGCAGACCCGACTTAGCCCATCCACCGTGTTCCTGATTCTAGCAATTCGTTCGATCTTGTAATCGAACTGCCAGGTAAATCCTACCCATCTTCCCACCGTCGGATCTATAGGCCTGTAGTTCCTTAAGGCCCCCGCGACATTCGTCGGATCGATCCTTAGGATGAATCGCCTCCCAAATAGGTAGGCCTGGAAGGTCTTGAGGCAGTGTAAGATGGCTAAGACCTCCTTTTTGAACTGCGAGTACCGCCGTTCTATGGAGTTCAAGGTCCTACTTTCGAACCTAATCGGTCTCTCTCTCCCTTCCTCATCTCATTGAATCAGCACGCCTCCTACGGCCAAGGGCCATTCATCCGTTTCTAGGACGAATGGTCTTCCCACTTCATCATTAAAACAAGGCGCTGATAAAGCGACTTGCTCAGATGTCAATATGTTCTTGAGGGTTTGGACGGCTCCTTCTCGCTCCTCCGTCCAGTCCATGGTCCCTTCTTCTTTGATCATGACCCGGATAGGCTCGGCAATCTTGGCAAAATTTTTAATGAAGATCCTCCAAAATCCGACCACACCTAGGAACGCTCTTACCTCCGTTGTCGTGCGCAGGGGTGTTGGCCACTGGGATATCTTGTCTGTCTTTGCCGGGTCTGGTTTCCTACCGTAAGCCCCGCAACGAAATCCTAGTATAGTTACTTCCGGTACTGCTAGAATACTCTTTGGTCCGCTAGCCGTGATGTTGTATACTAGGAACCGGCGGAGTAAATCCTTAATGTCTTGCAGATGGTCCCATACGAATCTTCGAATCCCTGGCTGGACTTCAGTCTCGTCCGTCTCTTGAGCGCCTTTGATCGGGTTGTCATCGATATAGTGTTTACACTTTTTGGGAAACACGTCTCCGACTACGGCGAGCATTCTCCTTTGTGCTTCGGCTACCACGTTCGTGAAGCCCATAGGGGTCACCTGCATCTGCAATTGGCCTATGGGGGTATGCATTGCGGTGTATGGCCGTTCCCGTACATCCAACGGAAGCTGGTCGTATCCTGAGTACAGATCTATCAGGGAGTAAATGCTCCGGCCGGCGTGCGATTCTATTAACAAATCAGCCTGAGGTAGCGAGCCAGCATTCCAGATGGTTACCGCATTCAACTTCTGCAGATCCTGAATCCACCTTAGCGTCTTGTTGGGCTTCCGAAAGAGGAACCACCGGTTTACGTATGGCGACGCCGTAGGTTCTGCGACGAAGGAGTCCATCTTTGCCCGAAGAAGGTATGTCACCTCCCCTGCTATCCCAACTTCGTAGGACGGTCCCTTCTCATTCCAACACATGTTCTATCGTGTGGATCCTGACCGGAGGAATCAACTTTGCGTCCAGCCGTCCCTTTTGGTGATCACTAAAGGCAAATGCCAGGTGAAACTCTTGGCAGGTCATTTTGATCAAGTGGTTTGCTTCTTCCGTTAGGAATCCGTCTACCCCTATCTTCATTGTATCAGCTACCTCATCTGGTATCCGATGCCCTTCCGTCGTTCTCCTTTCTCGGATCACCCGAAGGACTCCCTCCTCCTTCTCCATAGCCTCTTCCTTCGACGTCTCTAGCAGGATCGAGACCGGCTTCACTTTCTTCCTTACCGGCTTGTACTTTCGAACACTTCCTTCCGGGATCTTTCTCCTAAAAAATGAACGGTCGGGATTGCCCTCGTCACCTCTACGACTCATGGTTGAATACTAACTAATTTTCCATTCAGACAATATTTCTTTTGCACGTCTACTTCGAATTTGGCCAAGGCTGCTGAGTCTACTCCTACCTTGTGGTATCTGAGGGCCTTGACGAGCTGTAAATCCGGAATCTCTAGCGTGACTTCCGGCACGTCCATGTGTACTTTTTTCCGTTTGGGCAGGCTGGCACCGAGTTCGACTTCTGACTCCTTTTCTGCTACCATAACACTTAAGACTTCGTCCTCCTGCCTCCTCTTCTTCTGGGGCAGGCCCATCTTGATCCATTCCTTCTTGTTGAATGCCTCCTCAATCATAATTTCTACCCTTTCTCTCATGCCCTCCATCCGCGCGAAAGCCCCTTTTCGTGCGCTATCTTCTATCGACGGAGACCACGTTGCCAACTTCCCCTTCGGAGGGTCTCCTCCCGTCCCAAGGAGTCGGAGGAGCTCACCCCGACCGGCCACCGGGTCCTCTATATCTACCATGTGCGTGCCATCGTGCAAATGCATGCCTATCATTTCTACGTTTGCGCACCAGGGCCTCCCAAGGATAACGTCGTGATCCATTTCCTCCATTACGGTCATCCGTTGAAACGACCAGATTGACTCTCTGATTCTTGCCTCGATTGCACATTTCGTGACATACCCTGCGAACGAAATTTCCCCACCGGCTCCCCGGATGCTCCCCGTTACTTCCTTATTTACCGTACAGTCTGTGATTGTTGCGAAATCTCTCCTTATGAGAGTGACTTCTGCTCCCCCGTCTACTAATGCGTCGGTATGATGAGTCCCGATCTGAATCTTTAATTTTCCTACGGGTAGCGCATGGAAACTGAACTTTGTCCCAGGAGGTGCCCTCATGACTTCGCCACCTTCTCGGTCTGGCAAGCTCAAACGGATGTCTGCAAAGGCTTTCTCAAGGTCCTCCAGATCCCCGTGACTCCTTTGAAGGTTAGCAACCTCTTGCGGAGCTTCCTCCTCCCTTTCTTCTTCTGGTAATTGGGGGTTGTCTATTTCTACTCGCCGCCGATTCAACAGTTGTCTAAGCCCTTTGAGCAACCTAGGGCTAGCCTGCAGCATGGTCTGAAATGACATCGATACCATGGTTCCTAGTAACTTGCTAAGGGTGTCGTCGATCTCAGGCAAGGTTAAGATCGGGATTTGATACCGAAACTTCTTCTTAGCAGCGGTAACCTTGTCCGCAGGCTCCTCTTCCCTAGGCTTCCCATAGACTTTCTCTGGTTCCCTGGCCTCAGGCTCTGCCTGGGGTAAGGAGCTTCCAGCAACCTCCTCCATCACGGTGTCACGGATAATCCTTCTCCCGATCGTCCCTAGCCGAGTAGTCGGGTTCACCCTAATCCCCCCTGGCGAGTTCCAATTCTCCCGTTCTCCCTGCGGTCCGAATATCTCTCCCTTTAACGACCTTGTACATCTCCTTTTTAATATATCATGGTTGAGCTTTGGACAGGCGCACACATAATGTCCCATCGCGGTGCAGTACTTGCATTGCTCGTTAGAAGGATATCTTCGTCCGAATCCTTGATTGGTTACACCTGGCGGAACTACGGCTTCCTGGGGAGAGAGGGCGGGTCGGGATACTTGCGCCTGCATAACCAGTAGCGCGTTCTCCACCCTCTCAATTTTGTAGTCAACTCCGTGCACCCGTTCGTGTAGGCTTTCAATCCCCTGATTCTCCTTCTTTACCTTGTCGCCTATCTTACCGGTCAGGTCTATGACCTCCCCTTCCTTGAGCAAGGCCAACGTCTCAGTCACTACCGTCTTTTCGGCCAGGTCCGTTGCGGTGCTAAAATCCACATCCCTGGTGTTTACGAACTTGCTCGTCTGCTGGTAGGCTAACATAATCTTGTCTTTGTCGAACTCGGAGAACTGCTTGAGGAAGTATTTGCTCATTATCCGGTCCTTGACCGGGGATCCTTAATGCTACCAGGGTAAACTCCCGTAGGAAGTCGTTGTACGTTGCGAAGTTCTTCCTCTGGACTGCCGCTAAATCGGCCTCCGTCGCCATCTTCTCTGTTGCCAGATATTTTCTCATCATCACATCCCGGGTCTCCTTCCAAGACCGGCTCGCGGCCACAATGGCCATTATGTCCCGCCCTAGGCTCAGTGACACATGCTGTCCTAGGTGGTCCATCTTTTCTTCTTCGGTCCATTTCAGCGGCGCAACTAGGTTCTTATAATCGATAAGGAACTCCGTGATGTTCGCCTCGTCGAACGTCAACTTTTTCTTAGCGTCCGCTAGGTAGCCCTGGTTTTTGTTCAGTGCTCGCACAAGGGATGATACTATCTTCCTAAGGCCGCCTTCGGAGCTATCCGACCCTTCCTTGCCGGCCTTCTGTCCCTCCTTGGTCTTTGCAGTTCCTCCTGGGTCGAACCATCCCAACACCCTTTCCCTAAGGCTCCAGAGTCCCTCACATCCTCGCGTGACTGCTCGTGTGGTCGGCAGGCGGCTTGCCCTACTATCTATGGTTGGCGGGTTCGTAGCTTTATCCGCTTTCATCCCCGGGGAGTTCTCTCTTTTTTTCCTTCTTTTGCTTGGAGGTCACTACCCTTATCCCCTTGCCCAATTCCGCCTCGGCCGGTCCTCCGTTCGTCTCACGGTTCTTCCTGCAGCGGGCCTTCTTCGTTCCCAGTCACCATTTCCTCGATCAATCTTGCCTTGTATTCCGCGGTCCTCTTTTCTATCTCTGCTAATTTGCGCCTCGCATCCGTGACCCTTACTTTCTTTGACACAGTTCCCTCTGAATTTCGGGGGCTTGTCCTATCCTTATTTCTGCCCTCCTTGGTTTCCTGAGTCCCTTGCCTGCTTCCCCCGGCTTTCCCCGAGCTTTCCCCTGAGGAGATTTCCTTCCGGTTCCCTTTGGTACCATCCGGATTTATCGTTTCTCTGTCTTTCTGCCCCTCTTCGCTTTGTACGACACTGCCTCCTAAGCTCGGTCCTCCTTCGCTTTTACGGTTATCCGTCTCATCCTCTGTTGCCATTTTGCCTAGCTCTGCATAAACCAAAGGATTCCCCAGGACACACGCAATGCAAGGCATTTAGGTTCCCTAGGTTCCGGCTTCGTTGGCTTATTTATATTTGGGAAATAACCTTCTCCCTATTTCTGTTTCTTGATTGCTTCCCTAGGAAGGAGCCACGACTGGTCCTCCTGCCCTGCCGAGCTAAGGGTGTGACGTCTTTTCCTTTATCACAGGCTCGTTTAGAGCGCCCTTGTCCCGCCGGTCGGCGCGTAGGGGTCCGGGTCGGGCACCTTGCTAGGGAAAGTTTCCTGAGCAGTATTCCCCTTTTCGACCGTCAGGGTCATGTCAATCATTAGGAGTCTATCCTCCCCCCTTTTATTGCCTAGTGGGTTCTCATCATCCGGGTCCGAGGCCCTTTCTTATTTCCATTGGCGATCTTCTGTATGTAGCGGACTATACTCGATTTGCCCTATTAGCCCGCCTGCGGGTGCTAGTCCCGTTCTCGCCCTCGTGGCCCTTCCGGTTCGGTAGGCTCTTCGAATAGTTGTGTCACCCCTGCTAGATAACTTTCCCCTATCTCGATTTCCCTTTGGATTATGCGTTCGCACCCCGCCCAGTCTAGCCGTGGCGCCCTGATGACTTCCAGTAACTCGTGGGCCCTGTTTCCCCAGAACGGTCCATGCTCCACAACGACATCGTAGAACATCACAATGGTCGGGGAGGGGAAGTGGTCTACCCAGACTATCGCCGAGTCCGCCAGCTCCTGCGCCCTCGCAAGGCTCCCGAAGACGAGGTCTATCATAAAACGGGGAACTCGGCACCTCAGCGGTGTGGTTGGTGCCCTTAATTCCCTCCAACCTCCCATTTCCACCCGGGTAAGTAAGTCCACGTTTCTTCTACCCCTGACTGATTGTCCTATCCTCGCCAACACCCGGGCCGCCCTCCGAAAGACGGGAGCCAACTCGTGGCCTTGCGCTATTCCTATCCCCAGCAAGTGTCACCCAGCCTCGGGTAGGTACAGGACCCCGGTTACCTCTAAACTGGAGAATAGATCATCCCCTGGTCCCCGGTTGATTCTCATCCCCGTCCACCGATATTCTACCAACATGAAGGCGGTATCTCTCCCCAAAGTTACAGCCCGCCATTCTACGTCGAATCCCCGATAGTTGAAACTCGATGGGAGGGATACTTCCCATCGTCCGCCGTTATTCCAGGGCGGTCCGGGGTACCGGGGCTGGCGTTCCATTCGCACACGGGACGGGTGTTCCATTCGCACACGTCTTGCTTCCATTGTTGCCTTGGTGATTCCCTGCATAGTCCACATAGAAAGCGTTACAGCCAACCCTCTGTAAATGTTCACCTACTTCCCCCTTACCTTTTATATCCTCATTCTTCCTCTCTAGTCCAACTATCCATCCATATCCCCACGAGCCGCAACCTCCTCTGGCTGCTCGTACAACCGGTAAAGGTCATCTATGTAGGTCGCGCCCCGACCTACTTCCCGCCTGATGACTCTCCACATGGCCTCATCACTTGTTTGCGGAACTCCTGGTCGAGTATTTACTGCTGCTTGTAGTATACAAAGCACTTCATGCCTCTGTTCGTCTTCAAAAGGCTCCATCTCTAGGAAGGCCCGGTAGTATTCCTGATACATTAATGTTCCGTCGAAATTTAGCCTGGTTATGGCAGCACCGCCTGCTCCACTCGCTCTACGCCTCCCATTCGTCTTAGTAGAAAGGGTGGTAGACTCATTCGTACGACCTCATTGGGCAACTCAAAGACCCCTGCGGCGGCGACTTTTACCTCAGCCGTCACGTCATCTCGTTCCGGATCTGCGAACCAAAATCCCTCCCGCCAGGTTATTTGCCATGCCCCTTCGAACATTCGCACGGGGTCGTTCCTGGAAGCCAAGGCAATCCCAAAGGTCCGCCATACTTCTTCTGACAGGTGTAAGGATCCCGTCGCATGCACGCGCCCTGGGAGGTCCAAATTTATGCCCCCGAATTCTCCTCTCGCACGCCATTCCAGCTTTACTACTAGGTACACCGTGTCTTCCACCAATTCTACCCCCACCCAGTCCATTACCGGATTACTTACCACGCTTCTTGTTGGCAGGCTTATTTCGACCCTCCCCCCTGATGCTCTTGGTGGTAGGATCCCGCGAGGCCTATCGTCCCAGAATGTCATTCGCTGGACCATCTTGCAATGTCTCCTTTCCTGATTCCTTAGTCCGATTGCTGCACCCACCGAGATCCCATGCCTTTTGTGCTTTAGCCTTTCAACACTCCCTACCTATCGTACACTGGTTCTTGCTGCCATCCCTGCCCCATATACGTACAAATCTTCTTCCCCCTTTTGGCGTTGCTACCTTCCTTGTTTCGACCCCTTTGCAGCCCTTGCTAACTAATGTACACGCCCCCCTTTCTTACGCTACATCCTGATTCACCTGCACCCTCCATGCTCCGACCTCTCTGCGGTGTTCGATCTTCGGGTCCCTCTAATCGAGCCACAATACCTCAAACAGCGTAAAGACATCGTCCACGTAGGATGGTGCGGCCGCCGCCTCCCGGCTAACTATGGCGTCCCAAGCTTCCGCGTCTACCTCTAGGCGGTCGTACTTACCTATCCTCAGGACGGTGATGACTTCTCTGGCTTTATCGCCGTAGAAGGGCTCATATTTTAAGGAAGCCCTATAGAATTCCTCGGTCAGCCAGACACATTCTATGTGTACTTCCCTCATGGAGTCGGCCACGTCTGCTATGTGCTGAAATCCCCCGAACCAGTCAGCCACAAACTCGGGAACCCACGTTGTTGTGCGCAGGCAGGGAGGCTTGAGTTCCCTCCATCCTCCCATCACAACTCTGCTACTAACTTCGTCCCACCCCTTGTTGGCGAACCTCTTGCCTTCTTTTCGGGTTCGCGCCTCTGCGTCCCCTAGAAGCCACATTGGATCCTGTCCCATTGCTAACGTCGTGCAAAATAGGTGCCACCCATCTTCGGAAAGGACAATCATTCCGACCGACTCCACTTTGCCCTCTGCTATCTCATCCCAACCTTCCTTTTCCCTTATTGGGTTCCAAATCCGTTCTATCCATACATATGATAATTCTCGGGCAACCTCAAACCCAACCCAGTCGCATGTGGTCCCCCTCCACTCGTTTTTCGTTGGTATAGACATTTTTATCCCTCCTGTTAGTCACCGTGGTTCCCAACCCTTGAAGGTGTATTCCATCATCCTTTCCTCTCTAGTCATCTTTCCCCCTCCCTGCACAATACCAGGCCACCCGTTTTCCCCAAGTTAAGTCACCCTCCTTAGAAGTCTCAGTCCTCTATCTCATCATCCTCGTCCTCATCGCTGAAGTCGTCCTCTTCGTTATAGAACAACTCTTTCACCCCTTCCAGAAACGTCTCCCCTACTGCCACATTTCTACAGACTATCCCCCAGTGCACGGAGCTAGAGACAAAAACATCGTCTATGCTGAGGCAGTTCAGTATCTCGGCCAACTCGTCCGCCCAGTTCCCCTCAAAAGGCCACATTTCTACCGACAACCGAAAGAAGGCTTGCCTAGCGCACTGGTGTAGTCCGAGGTTCGTGATGGACTGACATATCCGTACTAGTCTGCTTCGGGTTCCGAAAACCGCATCCACCAGGAAGGGAGGCAACACACATCATATGGTTCTGACGGGTCGCCTCATGCTCCCTCTATCCCCAAGTTCCACTCGCACGTCTATCCTTTCCATGACACGCAACCCACACAACCTCCGCTTTTGCCTTCCTAAACAGTTCATCCGGCGCGTTCCCGAGTGCCAACTCTATGACCATAGCATTCTCCCCAACTTGTGACAAGTAGACCCACCCCCAGGCTTCCACTGTCCCTCGGAATTCCAAATCCATTAAACTTGGCGACAACCTCGTCAAGCTAACATTAGTCCATACTGTCTCTATCCAAAGAAAAACGTTCTCCCCTTCTAGCGTTGTTGTTTGATACGCTGGTTCAAGGTCCGTCCACGCTCCATCTTCCGAGAGGACGACCGATACACCATCCTTTACATCTACTGGCATTTCCGGGCCGCTGGTATAGATCAGGAAAGGCAACCATCTTGTTTCAGCACCCGACCTCTTGTTTCAGCACCCGACCTCTGTTTTCATAAAAGAGTACCAACCGGTCCTTCTAGTCAGGTCAACCCTTATCCTAGATGAGAATTATTTCAGACCCCTCATCAAGGTCTCCCTAATTTACCTCCCCATTCCTAAGTACCTCCTTCCCATAATACCCTTGGTCGACTATCCATTTCCTCCACATTCCTTCTCTTGGTTCCATTCCAACTGACCTCTATCCTCCTTCCTTCTGATCATCTCTTACTCGTGTGGACTTAGAAGGGAGGGGGAATAGACTTAGAAATATGCCCGTCCAACAATCCATGCTCAATCAATCTTTACGGAGGGGGGAACACATAAAGAAGATCAGGCAGTCTCATATACGGGTCGGTCATCTCCTCACCGGTCATCCCCAATATGGTCTCTCCGCTTACTATCGGTAGAGTTTTACCCCATACCTCAAGCGCAGCTCAACCGTCGCGAGCGCTGTACCCAGGCTCCGGCAAGGCGTTAGCCCTTTCCTTGTACCCAAAATACCCCATCCCGTCTTGCCGCTTTTGCACATCCGTACCGACACCGAGGGTTACCCCGTGTGCCTAAATACAGGGACAAAAGTCAGCCGTCCGGGCATTCACTTCCATCTGTCTGACAAGAATCAGCCTTTCCCAAACCATGCTACGAGAAACTACTAATCATCTCCAAGGCTCCGTCTTCGTCCGCATGCAGTGGTACTCCCCCCGCCAGCCAACAGGCTGAGCCCCGCCTGAGGAGACGCTTCGCACCCCGCCCGACAGATCATCGAGCAAAGCTCGTCAAAGCTCGAACGGGAATGGTACTAAATCAACCGGCGTGACAAACTCCCGTTCGACAGCTCGGTGGTCTGACCTCCACACATGAACACACGGCAGCCTACAAAAAGAGAGCGACATTTCGCAACCCGCACCGGCCGGTGCAGAGCCATCCTTTCCTTCCGAAAGGCAGGACGCTCAAATCCCATCATGCAAACACAAGTCCCAAGTGGGATACATAGAATACAAGTGCCTTTCCCTTGGTGCTCCCAACGCTTCCTACCCATAACTCACATTTTTTTCTCAGGACAATGAGTGTCACTCCCCCTATTTTCATACGTAGTGGTTGATTCCTTCTCGTGAGAATCTTCAAAGGCGAGCTAGTTTTCCTTGGAGTCTAGCAACTTCCTCTATTCTCTTTCTCTTCACTTGTCTGTCCTTTCATAGAGCGGGACTGTTCCTTCTTGATGACCCGTTGTGTTCATGTTGGTTCCTTCAAGCATTTCAAAAAAAGTGCAAAGTGCATGAGCCCACTGAGCTCAAAGAAGAAGATAGAAGGACACCCGTCCGGTCGGATCCCTCTGCCTCGGGAATTTAATTGGAACCCGGCCTAAGCCGAAGCACCAACCGCTTGCCAGGTAACCGGAGCCCTTCTTTCATACGAAGAGGAAGGGTCAACCTGCGACTTGCCCAAGGCTTCCCCAGACTCGCGAACATGAGCATCGGACGAAGGAGGGTTAGAGTCATTCTCCAATGAAATGAGTGATCAAGTGCATAGCATGCATGTTATACCTCCAGGCCTGGCTATGCCATGCGCCCAGCCACTATCAAATCTGATTTCTCACAAGGGAAAGAGCAAACACAAGTCCATTTTCCTCATCTTGGGTTGTGTACACGTCAATGCGTCGGGCGCTCCCGTCGGAATCGCAAGGGTCAATTTAACCCTTGCCCGTCACCTCCACCATTTTTGTAGGGTCAAACCCCGGTAGACATTCGAGCCTTAGTCGACCCCACTGCAGGTCCCAGTTGGCTCGGCCCGCCCATGCTTATGCTCAGGTCCGGGCCGTTCGTCCGAAGATCACCCCCACTGAGTGCTTTGAGATGGATGGGGGTGGGCCATTGCGCGAGAGGGCTTTGACATTGGGGATGTAGCTCAGCCCTCAAGCCGGGTGGTAGTCTCGCTGGTCATTCCGTAGCGCTGAATTTTTCTCGATTCTTTGTTGTATTCTCAAGCAATTGCTCCTTCCAATACGCAAGCAGTCCAGGGGTTCTTTGAGAGTTTTTTTTTTCTTCTTTTGTGGGCAGGCTAAGCGCTATCCTTAGGCCGCGCACTATTTCCCTGAACCTTGTGTCCCTACGGCGTCATCGAGGTGCGGCGACGCCGTCCTCCCCCTCGCCTCTATGCACCCCTTGAGTCTCATAATTCACTCTCAACTGATTGAAGCGGGCCCCTTAATCTTTTCGGGGCCTTTACATGATGACTTCACATTTCCCTCGGGAAGATTGCACTCTCATTTACACTCCAAGGCTCAAGCGCAAAAGTCATTTCCGTGGGTTGGCTCTATGCTAAGGGTCCCGTAGCCCCTTTGTCCCTCTTCCCTTTCCTTCTTGGTGCCCAGTTCCTCCCGGCCCTATTCCGCTCAAGGCATCCTTTGCCATCACTCACCTGCACAATCCCACACAAAGCAAAAATTCATGTCGTCCCCCGTTGGGGGTCAACACATAGCCTTTCCCACATGCCTATCTTTTCAAACTCCTTGGCTGTTCTTTGTTCCCTTTTCTTTACTCAATCAGCCCATCCTCTTCTCATAGTCATGCAGTCGGGGAAATGGTTGAGTCGAACTGACCGTGCTTTCACTTATAGTCCTTCTTGGGTTCCGCCTCTTTTTTCCACTTTCTCATCCGTCCTTTCCTTTGCCTTCTTCGTGACGCAAGGGACCGGCTATCCTCCTCTTGCCCTCTTTCTCCACCAAGTGAGGTCTGATTTCTTCTTACCGTTCGCACCCTGGCAATGTACCAAGTGAGGGGAGAAGGATTAGTCATATGCCAAGTGAGGAATGTTCCGGATCTTACTTAGATGATCTCTCCTCTATGTGCAAGTACTTTCCGGTAGTCTTAGTTTCTCAATTTGCAAGTTCATATGTGTTATAGTATTCGGTTCATGCTTAGTAGATCCTTTACTATGGGATGGGTGACCGACATTTCGCTGCTACTACGGGTGATGACTTGATTAGGATTAAAAATCCCTTCTCTCTCTCTCCTTCTCCCTCCCTCTCTTTCTCTTTCTCTCTCTCTCTCTGTTTCTCTCTCCCTCTCTCTCTCTCTCTCTCTCTCTCTCTCTCGCTCTCTCTCTCTCTCTCTCTCTCTCTCTCTCTCTCTCTCTCTCTCCCTCTCTCTCTCCACCACGCTTTCTCCCCTCGTTCACTAATGAAAAGCTAAACTTAGTGGAAAACACATGCAGATAGGGGAGAGATCAACTGAGTANCTGCCTCCTCTTCTTCTGGGGCAGGCCCATCTTGATCCATTCCTTCTTGTTGAACGCCTCCTCAATCATAATTTCTACCCTTTCTCTCATGCCCTCCATCCGCGCGAAAGCCCCTTTTCGTGCGCTATCTTCTATCGACGGAGACCACGTTGCCAACTTCCCCTTCGGAGGGTCTCCTCCCGTCCCAAGGAGTCGGAGGAGCTCACCCCGACCGGCCACCGGGTCCTCTATATCTACCATGTGCGTGCCATCGTGCAAATGCATGCCTATCATTTCTACGTTTGCGCACCAGGGCCTCCCAAGGATAACGTCGTGATCCATTTCCTCCATTACGGTCATCCGTTGAAACGACCAGATTGACTCTCTGATTCTTGCCTCGATTGCACATTTCGTGACATACCCTGCGAACGAAATTTCCCCACCGGCTCCCCGGATGCTCCCCGTTACTTCCTTATTTACCGTACAGTCTGTGATTGTTGCGAAATCTCTCCTTATGAGAGTGACTTCTGCTCCCCCGTCTACTAATGCGTCGGTATGATGAGTCCCGATCTGAATCTTTAATTTTCCTACGGGTAGCGCATGGAAACTGAACTTTGTCCCAGGAGGTGCCCTCATGACTTCGCCACCTTCTCGGTCTGGCAAGCTCAAACGGATGTCTGCAAAGGCTTTCTCAAGGTCCTCCAGATCCCCGTGACTCCTTTGAAGGTTAGCAACCTCTTGCGGAGCTTCCTCCTCCCTTTCTTCTTCTGGTAATTGGGGGTTGTCTATTTCTACTCGCCGCCGATTCAACAGTTGTCTAAGCCCTTTGAGCAACCTAGGGCTAGCCTGCAGCATGGTCTGAAATGACATCGATACCATGGTTCCTAGTAACTTGCTAAGGGTGTCGTCGATCTCAGGCAAGGTTAAGATCGGGATTTGATACCGAAACTTCTTCTTAGCAGCGGTAACCTTGTCCGCAGGCTCCTCTTCCCTAGGCTTCCCATAGACTTTCTCTGGTTCCCTGGCCTCAGGCTCTGCCTGGGGTAAGGAGCTTCCAGCAACCTCCTCCATCACGGTGTCACGGATAATCCTTCTCCCGATCGTCCCTAGCCGAGTAGTCGGGTTCACCCTAATCCCCCCTGGCGAGTTCCAATTCTCCCGTTCTCCCTGCGGTCCGAATATCTCTCCCTTTAACGACCTTGTACATCTCCTTTTTAATATATCATGGTTGAGCTTTGGACAGGCGCACACATAATGTCCCATCGCGGTGCAGTACTTGCATTGCTCGTTAGAAGGATATCTTCGTCCGAATCCTTGATTGGTTACACCTGGCGGAACTACGGCTTCCTGGGGAGAGAGGGCGGGTCGGGATACTTGCGCCTGCATAACCAGTAGCGCGTTCTCCACCCTCTCAATTTTGTAGTCAACTCCGTGCACCCGTTCGTGTAGGCTTTCAATCCCCTGATTCTCCTTCTTTACCTTGTCGCCTATCTTACCGGTCAGGTCTATGACCTCCCCTTCCTTGAGCAAGGCCAACGTCTCAGTCACTACCGTCTTTTCGGCCAGGTCCGTTGCGGTGCTAAAATCCACATCCCTGGTGTTTACGAACTTGCTCGTCTGCTGGTAGGCTAACATAATCTTGTCTTTGTCGAACTCGGAGAACTGCTTGAGGAAGTATTTGCTCATTATCCGGTCCTTGACCGGGGATCCTTAATGCTACCAGGGTAAACTCCCGTAGGAAGTCGTTGTACGTTGCGAAGTTCTTCCTCTGGACTGCCGCTAAATCGGCCTCCGTCGCCATCTTCTCTGYTGCCAGATATTTTCTCATCATCACATCCCGGGTCTCCTTCCAAGACCGGCTCGCGGCCACAATGGCCATTATGTCCCGCCCTAGGCTCAGTGACACATGCTGTCCTAGGTGGTCCATCTTTTCTTCTTCGGTCCATTTCAGCGGCGCAACTAGGTTCTTATAATCGATAAGGAACTCCGTGATGTTCGCCTCGTCGAACGTCAACTTTTTCTTAGCGTCCGCTAGGTAGCCCTGGTTTTTGTTCAGTGCTCGCACAAGGGATGATACTATCTTCCTAAGGCCGCCTTCGGAGCTATCCGACCCTTCCTTGCCGGCCTTCTGTCCCTCCTTGGTCTTTGCAGTTCCTCCTGGGTCGAACCATCCCAACACCCTTTCCCTAAGGCTCCAGAGTCCCTCACATCCTCGCGTGACTGCTCGTGTGGTCGGCAGGCGGCTTGCCCTACTATCTATGGTTGGCGGGTTCGTAGCTTTATCCGCTTTCATCCCCGGGGAGTTCTCTCTTTTTTTCCTTCTTTTGCTTGGAGGTCACTACCCTTATCCCCTTGCCCAATTCCGCCTCGGCCGGTCCTCCGTTCGTCTCACGGTTCTTCCTGCAGCGGGCCTTCTTCGTTCCCAGTCACCATTTCCTCGATCAATCTTGCCTTGTATTCCGCGGTCCTCTTTTCTATCTCTGCTAATTTGCGCCTCGCATCCGTGACCCTTACTTTCTTTGACACAGTTCCCTCTGAATTTCGGGGGCTTGTCCTATCCTTATTTCTGCCCTCCTTGGTTTCCTGAGTCCCTTGCCTGCTTCCCCCGGCTTTCCCCGAGCTTTCCCCTGAGGAGATTTCCTTCCGGTTCCCTTTGGTACCATCCGGATTTATCGTTTCTCTGTCTTTCTGCCCCTCTTCGCTTTGTACGACACTGCCTCCTAAGCTCGGTCCTCCTTCGCTTTTACGGTTATCCGTCTCATCCTCTGTTGCCATTTTGCCTAGCTCTGCATAAACCAAAGGATTCCCCAGGACACACGCAATGCAAGGCATTTAGGTTCCCTAGGTTCCGGCTTCGTTGGCTTATTTATATTTGGGAAATAACCTTCTCCCTATTTCTGTTTCTTGATTGCTTCCCTAGGAAGGAGCCACGACTGGTCCTCCTGCCCTGCCGAGCTAAGGGTGTGACGTCTTTTCCTTTATCACAGGCTCGTTTAGAGCGCCCTTGTCCCGCCGGTCGGCGCGTAGGGGTCCGGGTCGGGCACCTTGCTAGGGAAAGTTTCCTGAGCAGTATTCCCCTTTTCGACCGTCAGGGTCATGTCAATCATTAGGAGTCTATCCTCCCCCCTTTTATTGCCTAGTGGGTTCTCATCATCCGGGTCCGAGGCCCTTTCTTATTTCCATTGGCGATCTTCTGTATGTAGCGGACTATACTCGATTTGCCCTATTAGCCCGCCTGCGGGTGCTAGTCCCGTTCTCGCCCTCGTGGCCCTTCCGGTTCGGTAGGCTCTTCGAATAGTTGTGTCACCCCTGCTAGATAACTTTCCCCTATCTCGATTTCCCTTTGGATTATGCGTTCGCACCCCGCCCAGTCTAGCCGTGGCGCCCTGATGACTTCCAGTAACTCGTGGGCCCTGTTTCCCCAGAACGGTCCATGCTCCACAACGACATCGTAGAACATCACAATGGTCGGGGAGGGGAAGTGGTCTACCCAGACTATCGCCGAGTCCGCCAGCTCCTGCGCCCTCGCAAGGCTCCCGAAGACGAGGTCTATCATAAAACGGGGAACTCGGCACCTCAGCGGTGTGGTTGGTGCCCTTAATTCCCTCCAACCTCCCATTTCCACCCGGGTAAGTAAGTCCACGTTTCTTCTACCCCTGACTGATTGTCCTATCCTCGCCAACACCCGGGCCGCCCTCCGAAAGACGGGAGCCAACTCGTGGCCTTGCGCTATTCCTATCCCCAGCAAGTGTCACCCAGCCTCGGGTAGGTACAGGACCCCGGTTACCTCTAAACTGGAGAATAGATCATCCCCTGGTCCCCGGTTGATTCTCATCCCCGTCCACCGATATTCTACCAACATGAAGGCGGTATCTCTCCCCAAAGTTACAGCCCGCCATTCTACGTCGAATCCCCGATAGTTGAAACTCGATGGGAGGGATACTTCCCATCGTCCGCCGTTATTCCAGGGCGGTCCGGGGTACCGGGGCTGGCGTTCCATTCGCACACGGGACGGGTGTTCCATTCGCACACGTCTTGCTTCCATTGTTGCCTTGGTGATTCCCTGCATAGTCCACATAGAAAGCGTTACAGCCAACCCTCTGTAAATGTTCACCTACTTCCCCCTTACCTTTTATATCCTCATTCTTCCTCTCTAGTCCAACTATCCATCCATATCCCCACGAGCCGCAACCTCCTCTGGCTGCTCGTACAACCGGTAAAGGTCATCTATGTAGGTCGCGCCCCGACCTACTTCCCGCCTGATGACTCTCCACATGGCCTCATCACTTGTTTGCGGAACTCCTGGTCGAGTATTTACTGCTGCTTGTAGTATACAAAGCACTTCATGCCTCTGTTCGTCTTCAAAAGGCTCCATCTCTAGGAAGGCCCGGTAGTATTCCTGATACATTAATGTTCCGTCGAAATTTAGCCTGGTTATGGCAGCACCGCCTGCTCCACTCGCTCTACGCCTCCCATTCGTCTTAGTAGAAAGGGTGGTAGACTCATTCGTACGACCTCATTGGGCAACTCAAAGACCCCTGCGGCGGCGACTTTTACCTCAGCCGTCACGTCATCTCGTTCCGGATCTGCGAACCAAAATCCCTCCCGCCAGGTTATTTGCCATGCCCCTTCGAACATTCGCACGGGGTCGTTCCTGGAAGCCAAGGCAATCCCAAAGGTCCGCCATACTTCTTCTGACAGGTGTAAGGATCCCGTCGCATGCACGCGCCCTGGGAGGTCCAAATTTATGCCCCCGAATTCTCCTCTCGCACGCCATTCCAGCTTTACTACTAGGTACACCGTGTCTTCCACCAATTCTACCCCCACCCAGTCCATTACCGGATTACTTACCACGCTTCTTGTTGGCAGGCTTATTTCGACCCTCCCCCCTGATGCTCTTGGTGGTAGGATCCCGCGAGGCCTATCGTCCCAGAATGTCATTCGCTGGACCATCTTGCAATGTCTCCTTTCCTGATTCCTTAGTCCGATTGCTGCACCCACCGAGATCCCATGCCTTTTGTGCTTTAGCCTTTCAACACTCCCTACCTATCGTACACTGGTTCTTGCTGCCATCCCTGCCCCATATACGTACAAATCTTCTTCCCCCTTTTGGCGTTGCTACCTTCCTTGTTTCGACCCCTTTGCAGCCCTTGCTAACTAATGTACACGCCCCCCTTTCTTACGCTACATCCTGATTCACCTGCACCCTCCATGCTCCGACCTCTCTGCGGTGTTCGATCTTCGGGTCCCTCTAATCGAGCCACAATACCTCAAACAGCGTAAAGACATCGTCCACGTAGGATGGTGCGGCCGCCGCCTCCCGGCTAACTATGGCGTCCCAAGCTTCCGCGTCTACCTCTAGGCGGTCGTACTTACCTATCCTCAGGACGGTGATGACTTCTCTGGCTTTATCGCCGTAGAAGGGCTCATATTTTAAGGAAGCCCTATAGAATTCCTCGGTCAGCCAGACACATTCTATGTGTACTTCCCTCATGGAGTCGGCCACGTCTGCTATGTGCTGAAATCCCCCGAACCAGTCAGCCACAAACTCGGGAACCCACGTTGTTGTGCGCAGGCAGGGAGGCTTGAGTTCCCTCCATCCTCCCATCACAACTCTGCTACTAACTTCGTCCCACCCCTTGTTGGCGAACCTCTTGCCTTCTTTTCGGGTTCGCGCCTCTGCGTCCCCTAGAAGCCACATTGGATCCTGTCCCATTGCTAACGTCGTGCAAAATAGGTGCCACCCATCTTCGGAAAGGACAATCATTCCGACCGACTCCACTTTGCCCTCTGCTATCTCATCCCAACCTTCCTTTTCCCTTATTGGGTTCCAAATCCGTTCTATCCATACATATGATAATTCTCGGGCAACCTCAAACCCAACCCAGTCGCATGTGGTCCCCCTCCACTCGTTTTTCGTTGGTATAGACATTTTTATCCCTCCTGTTAGTCACCGTGGTTCCCAACCCTTGAAGGTGTATTCCATCATCCTTTCCTCTCTAGTCATCTTTCCCCCTCCCTGCACAATACCAGGCCACCCGTTTTCCCCAAGTTAAGTCACCCTCCTTAGAAGTCTCAGTCCTCTATCTCATCATCCTCGTCCTCATCGCTGAAGTCGTCCTCTTCGTTATAGAACAACTCTTTCACCCCTTCCAGAAACGTCTCCCCTACTGCCACATTTCTACAGACTATCCCCCAGTGCACGGAGCTAGAGACAAAAACATCGTCTATGCTGAGGCAGTTCAGTATCTCGGCCAACTCGTCCGCCCAGTTCCCCTCAAAAGGCCACATTTCTACCGACAACCGAAAGAAGGCTTGCCTAGCGCACTGGTGTAGTCCGAGGTTCGTGATGGACTGACATATCCGTACTAGTCTGCTTCGGGTTCCGAAAACCGCATCCACCAGGAAGGGAGGCAACACACATCATATGGTTCTGACGGGTCGCCTCATGCTCCCTCTATCCCCAAGTTCCACTCGCACGTCTATCCTTTCCATGACACGCAACCCACACAACCTCCGCTTTTGCCTTCCTAAACAGTTCATCCGGCGCGTTCCCGAGTGCCAACTCTATGACCATAGCATTCTCCCCAACTTGTGACAAGTAGACCCACCCCCAGGCTTCCACTGTCCCTCGGAATTCCAAATCCATTAAACTTGGCGACAACCTCGTCAAGCTAACATTAGTCCATACTGTCTCTATCCAAAGAAAAACGTTCTCCCCTTCTAGCGTTGTTGTTTGATACGCTGGTTCAAGGTCCGTCCACGCTCCATCTTCCGAGAGGACGACCGATACACCATCCTTTACATCTACTGGCATTTCCGGGCCGCTGGTATAGATCAGGAAAGGCAACCATCTTGTTTCAGCACCCGACCTCTTGTTTCAGCACCCGACCTCTGTTTTCATAAAAGAGTACCAACCGGTCCTTCTAGTCAGGTCAACCCTTATCCTAGATGAGAATTATTTCAGACCCCTCATCAAGGTCTCCCTAATTTACCTCCCCATTCCTAAGTACCTCCTTCCCATAATACCCTTGGTCGACTATCCATTTCCTCCACATTCCTTCTCTTGGTTCCATTCCAACTGACCTCTATCCTCCTTCCTTCTGATCATCTCTTACTCGTGTGGACTTAGAAGGGAGGGGGAATAGACTTAGAAATATGCCCGTCCAACAATCCATGCTCAATCAATCTTTACGGAGGGGGGAACACATAAAGAAGATCAGGCAGTCTCATATACGGGTCGGTCATCTCCTCACCGGTCATCCCCAATATGGTCTCTCCGCTTACTATCGGTAGAGTTTTACCCCATACCTCAAGCGCAGCTCAACCGTCGCGAGCGCTGT